CACTACCATAATGAAATAAAAAAATAATTTTTTAAAAAATAAACTTTAAAAATTCATGTCTTACATTTTTTGAATAAATGTGGGGTCCCTCGGTCCCTCGGTCCCTCGGTTAATTAACATCTTTTTGAAAATAGTGACAACATGACATTTAGACAACAGGGGGAAAAAAGGAGGAAATTCATGTCTTACATTTTTTGAATAAATCAAGATTTAAAAAATTGACTTCTTACGTAAAATTAAAACTAAGTTAAATTTATTTTTTTCATCTTTTATTTTATAATAAATGAGTATAACAACTAATTCATTGAAATCTTTAAAGTTCACTAATTCAGAATTAGAAAATATTTTAGAAAATTTTGGAGACGGTTCTTATCCAACATATATGCAGAATGTGAAAGAGTTTTCCAGATTGTTGAATGAATTTAAATATAACGGACCAATTACTAAAAAGGCTATAATGAGATATTTATATCCCAAAAAAGTTGAAAAACAGGAGAATATTCCTCTTTATGGTCCAGAGGACCTGGGCTCAGAGAGCCTTGAAACACCTCCTGAATATTTTGAAGAAAAAATTAAACAAGATGAATATTATAACGATGAGATTGAGAAATTGGAACAATTAAGAAATGAAATAGATGAAAAAATTAAGGAATTGAGAAATGCTGAGAATGAAGTAGAGGGTTTAATGAATATCCCGGCTTCAGAATCAGAAGTTCAAAAATCACATGAGGAAAGATATAAAAATTACTTTTTGGAATCAACACAAAATTTATTAGATGGTGATATTGACGAAACACTTTCAGAAGAAGGCACAAAATTTATTCATAAACATAAGTTACAATTTATTGATAATGAAAAATACCCCTGTATATTACTTTCACCACCTTTAGATTCCGAAAAATTCAAAAAAGCTCTTAAAAACGTGACATATGCAACTAATACAATTAAGAAAGAAGACCATGATATTTACACAAATTATTATTTAAATAAATGCACAGGTGTTGATAAAGTTTTTGATTTATTAGATAAAATATCAAAAGAAACCATTGGAACCTATAAAATTTTGTGTGATTGTGGTTTCATTATTGAAGATACCAATAATGTTTCATATGAAAGAACAGCACCGAAGGAAGACGAAGTTGAAAGGTCTATACCATTCGTTATTAAGAATATAAAAGATATGAAAACGTATAAGCATTATATTTATTCATTTATTTCAGAAAAAATGGAAGCAACCCATAAAACATCATCTCATCATTTTATAGCTATTCATACATTCCTTTTCAAAGTTGTGAAATTAAATAAGACAGGAATTAGATTTAATGTATCAGGGTATGCATTCTTGAGTAAATTAAAATGCATTCGTCACGTCGCAGATGATAAAAATTTATGTGTTCTTAATTCATTTTATGGGCTTTAAAAAATAAACTTTATTTTTATTTATTTTTTAATTTTTATTCTTACATAAATGAACAAAAATGGAACAGCTAAAATGAATGATAATCAAATAAGAGCCGAAGGTAGAAGGTTATTTAAACGCTTCTATAACATTCCTGATGGTGTTAATCCTAAAACTCGTAGAAGTTATTTAAATGAAGCCATAGATGCATATGAAGGATTTGACATTTCATCAGAAAGTGAGAGATTAGCGAGAATGTTAAATGTTAATATTGATTTCTATTATTGTGATCCTCAACCAGAAGACGTGGACATAAATAAGGTAGACTTTCCATTAGTGGAATCAATAATGATAGATCCAGAATTTGAAACAGTAAATATTTTATTAACACAGAGTCCATGTGGAAAACTTCACGCTGACAGAATAACAGACGTTGAAGCACTCACAGGATATAAAGTTTGCCCCTTTTGCAAAGAAGAAGTTTATTCTATCCGTGATGATCCAGAAAGGAAAAACCAAAGAAGATTTTTAAAACATTGTGAGAAATGTAAAGAAAATAATGGAAGATTAATTCAAGACGTTCAATTGCAAAAGACACAGCAACCATATGCACCACATATTACGAAACAGAAGATATATCAGTGGTTATTAGCTCACAATTTGCAGGAATATTATCAACCGACAAGATATTATATTACTTTTGACTTCGAAACATTAGAGACTAAAGAAGAATTACAACTTTCTGAATGTGCAACTTTGAACGCTTACTTAAAACCATTCATGGTATCATCAACGGTTAAATTAAATGATAAAACATATACGAGGAATTTTTGCTTAACTTCGAGTGATTCTTTTATTTCTGATTGGATTGAGTTTTTATTTTCAACCTGTTCATTAGTTGCTAAATCAAATATTAAACAATATGAAGAATTAATGAAGCCGCAAACGGCGGGGACTTTGTCCCATACATTAAATGAGAAACAAAAGGAAGCAATGAAAGAGCTTTTAGATGAAGAATTTAATAAAGTGAATATCATTGGTTTTAATTCGGGAAAGTTTGATTTAAATTTAATTCTTCGTGATTTAAATACTGCAAAATGGAAGATAAAATCAATGCTGGGTTCTTCTTCTCAATTTAAGCAAGTCATTGTAAAGAAAACAAACGTTCCATATGAATTGAGATTTATTGACATCAGAAATTATATAGCGGGTGGAACATTAGACCAATTTACTCAAGATTTCGGAAACAATAAATCACGTGTTAAATCCTTTTTCCCTTATCAATTCATCACATGGGAGAATTACGAAGATGAATTATATAAAAAGGAACCATTCACGAAAGATTCATTTTATTCAGCATTAACACAAGAAACAATATCCGATTCAGATTATCAAATATATCTCAATGATGCTAAAAATTTTGAGAATAGATTAGAATATTTTATTCATTATTGCAATAAAGATGTTGAAATTATGATTGACCCAATTGATAAAATTATTGAAGAAACATTTGTTTATAAAATTGACATGCTCCATAATCTTTCATTATCATCTAATGCATCAATGATTCGTTACGCGTTAGCATATAAGAACTTCAATCCTAACGAAACATATCCAGAAGAAGAAAATGTGGAATCAAGTTTTGAATTAACGAAAAAGTATTGGAAATATAAAATTGAATCATATAAGAAACAAGATGAAAAGGTGAAAAGAGATACCAAAAATAATGTTTCAATGGATGACTATCAATATTTTCACGATTTAATCCTTTCATCTAAATGTAAAATGTGTGGTAAAGCGTTTACATATGCAAATAAACCAACATTGGATAGAATCGATAATGAAAAACCACATACTAAAGAAAATTGTCAGTTAATGTGTTGTTATTGCAATGTCGTAAAATCAAATAAAGATGAAGATGTTCAACGTTTAAGAATCAATTTAAGAAATTATGCATTAAAAAATAATTTACCAATGACTTTAGATTCAGTGAAGCGTATCACATCTCTCCGTAATGGAATTACTGGTGGTTTATCAAATGTTCAACATCGTGTTAATCTTAAAGGAATCACGCACATTAATAAACTTTCATATAATCCAGAAACTAAAACTGTATCAAATGAGGACACTTCCAACATCATGACTCATTTCGTTGGTGTTGATTTCAATTCATTATATCCTTCATCATTTTCATCAAATCCTCATGATTTCATTCAATACACCGATCATAGAATGTATATGCCGGGGAGATTAGAAGATGTTTTAATTTGTGATACAGCAACAAAGAAAGCAAAAGCACTGGGAATTATTAAGAAGAAAAATACTTTATTCGTGGCTGAAGTAAAGGGTCACATTGATGAAAAATACATTAATGATTACATAAACTTTTTACCGATAATAAGAAACTTAGATATTATCACAGATGAAAAAACAATTGGCAGTTTTATGTATAATTACATGAAATCAAACAATCTACCAGTTGACCAGAAACAGAGAAAATTAACTCAATTAGCATCAACACACAACCAATATCAACCATTTTCTTCTTATTATCTTTGGTATCTAATCGACAGATTTCATTTTATCATCGATGACATTCAATCAATTTTAACATTTACGAAAAACACTTGTTTTAATGAATTTGCGAACAAATTTATGAACGAAAGACAAAAGGCTGAATTAGAAGGAAATAAAGGAAAAAGTTTATTTTGCAAAATTTCACTTAATGGATCATATGGTTACGATGCAATGAATACACAAAATTATGCAAAGACTAAAATAATGAATGCACAGAAGTCACGCGTTGCATGTATGTCAAATAAGTTTAAAAACATAAGAGAAATAGGTGAGGATACATATCAAGTGATGCTCAAAGATAGATTTTATAGATGTGAAACATGTTTACAAGAGGCATTCTTCACTTTAGATAATGCTAAATACTGGTATTTGGTTTTCATTTATGATTTTATGTATAAATGCATGGATGTTAATCGTTTTCATTTCATTGAAGGTGATACTGATTCATCTTATTGGGCTATTGCTGGCGACCCAAATCTTCCTAACACTCAAGCATTTCAAGCGATTGTACCGATAAAAATTTTATGATAAAAACATTTTCAAATTCGCACCTTTTGATTTCTTCTGTTTTGATGAGAAATTTAAACCTAAATTAAAGAATAAAGCTGAAGAAAAAGCACATGAGAAGAAGTTATTGGGTTTAGCAATTGAGAAACAAGGTGATAACATGGTTGCTTTATGTCCTAAGTGTTATACATCATTCAACGGAATGATTGGTGAAGACTCCTTCAAAAAGATAGCACAAAAAATGAAAGGTGTTAGTTTACGACAAAATAAGCAATTAACACCTAAAAATTATTTGGATATAATAAATGATAAAGTCATTTTCGATGGTCAGAATATTAATTTACAACTTAAAAATGGGTCAATGACTCGCTTAACAATCGGTAAGACTGCATTAACAGGAGCACACACTAAGGCTGTATGTTGTGAAAATGGATGTTGTATGCCATTTATTTAATGAAATGCCACAGAAGAGACAAAGAGGCGGGCACCCTTAAATATTTATTTTATTTTTATATAAATGAATAGCGTAGATTTAAAAATTTTAATTGATGATTTAGTATTTAATCAAAATTTTCTTACTTATTATGATTTAAAAGCATATCTTCAAAAACATGATAAAAATATAACGGGTGATGATATGGATGAATACTATCGGTATTATAAAAACGAAATTTTGAAATATCATGATAAAATAATTAAACGTTTAAGAGAGAATATTAAAGAAGGAAAATATTCAAAGGGAAAAAGTAAATCACAACTGAAACAGTTGAAAGATTTCAAAAATAAAGTATTAACAGAAGAAGATATTGATGAATTATATAAATTATATAATCCTGAGCCACAAAAACCAAAAGAGAAAAGTTTGGACGTTCAGCAGCTCATAAATGATGCACAAGCTTTAATTTATGATTCATTAGTTAAACCATATTCAGCCCGACTTTTAAATGAAGATCAACTTTTGGAATTCATCCTTCAACATAAACTCGAAGCGGGAAAGTATATCAATCCTTTATATACAGCATATTTAAAACAAATGAATAGAATACATCCAGAATTAATGAAGGAAGGATTGAATTCCAAAATCAAAGCAGATAAAATTAAACCACTTACAACACCAAAACCTCCAACAGTAGTACCTCCTCCTCCTTCAGTTAATCCTTCATCATTCACTTTATTATATCCATTTCAAACATTTAAGAAGCAAAAAGATTTTAAAAAGGATTTCAAGATATTAAATAAACCAATTGACCCGAAAATTCAACCATTAAAGGAAAAATTTAGTCGACCTTCATTTGCTCCATATCCATATTCATACGAAATCGATCATCTGGAATATTCAAAAGGAAACGTTACTTATTTATTTGCCATTAACATTAACACTAGATATTTATATTGCATTCCGGTGAAAGGGAAAACAGAACAGGAAACAAGAAGGGCTATACAATACTTACTAGATCATGAAAGAGTGGATAATATCAGGGGTGATGGTGATAAAGGATTTCAGGCAGCCATGACTCATTATTTCCCACAAATTAATTTTTACTTTTCATCCTCTCCATATACGTTTCATAATAAAATAGTTGATGCAGTAATGAGAACTCTTAGAGATGCGTTAGGGGTTAACGGTCAGATATACTGGGATGGAAATCATGACTCCATCATACAGCAGTTAGTATATTATTACAATAATACATGGCATAGAACTATTAACATGAAACCGGTGGAAATGAAAAATGATATTTCAAAAGAATGGGAATATATTAGAAAACAAATGGAAAGGTTAAATGATGTTAAACGTGAACAAATTAATTCAGGGCTCATGAATTTTAAACAAGGGGATAAAGTTTTGATTCATCTCGATTATGGAAAAACTGATAAATCAATGACAAAAAGAAGACGAAGATTTGACACAATAGCTGAATTTGTTAGATATATTAACGGCAATGCATTAGTTGAAGTTGACAATAAATTAATAGAAATTCCGATTTATTTTATTACTCCATTATATTTAAATAATATTTAATTTTTTTATTTCGTAAGAAATGAGTGACAACAAAGCAGTCAAGAGTCCAGACGATGAATATAAAAAGAAACTAAACAGAATTAAATCAAAAATATGCTATTACAAAAAGAAGTCGCAATGCGGTGGGTTGAAAACGATAAAGAAATAATCGAAAAATTAGAAACTTGCCGTTCAATCCTTAAACTGAGTGAAGCAAAAATAAAAGAATTTAATAGAATAAATAAATTGGTTGGAAGAGATGAATTTAATAAAGATGAATTTTTAAACTCTATCCAAATTTAATTTTTATTCTCTTCGACAACATCTCTCTTTCCATCATTACTGCATAACCACATTTTCTCAATTTTAGTGGTTTGTTATTTTTAACATGTTTCGCATCATTTTTATCATTTCCTCCCTTGTTATGATTCGTGGTAAATTTTGAGCTTGTGGGGTATTCATTTATGATAAAAATAAAAATTTAAATTATGCTGTTCTAAAGTTTGTGAAAGAATTTGCGGAAATTCATGTCTTACATTTTTTGAATAAATGAGGGGTCCCTCGGTCCCTCGGTCCCTCGGTTAATTAACATCTTTTTGAAAATAGTGACAACATGACATTTTGACAACAGGGGGAAAAAAGGAGGAAATTCATGTCTTACATTTTTTGAATAAATGAAGGGTCCCTCGGTCCCTCGGTCCCTCGGTTAATTAACATCTTTTTGAAAATAGTGACAACATGACATTTTGACAACAGGGGAAAAAAGGAGGAAATTCATGTCTTACATTTTTTGAATAAATGAAGGGTCCCTCGGTCCCTCGGTCCCTCGGTTAATTAACATCTTTTTGAAAATAGTGACAACATGACATTTTGACAACAGGGAAAAAAAGGAGGAAATTCATGTCTTACATTTTTTGAATAAAGTTAGTTTTAAAATTATTTTTATTTTTTTTTCCTATATAAATGACAGCAACAAACAACAGCAACTTTATCATTTCTGATGAACAAGTTATTGATTCATTAGCTGAGGAATTAGTTGTGGCAGAAACTAAAACCCTCAACGAAAGAATTGGTGAAAACAAGATTGATTTACATAACTACCTCAAACACGATGGAGGAAGAGGAAGGAAAACTGGTATGGCTTTATTAGTAAATAAAATTCCAAATTTAACTATTATAGATGTTGATATCAATAAATCATACAATGATGAACTTAAAGAAACAGTTAGAAAAGACATTTTATCAAAACTTTCGGATAAAGATGTTATCGTTAAAACCGCTTCAGGAGGTCTTCACATTTATTGCAACACTAATTTCTTCTATTCAACCTCGAACAGAATGATTAAATGTTATTCCTGCAATGATTATGATATTGACATAATGACTTCTATGGATGATTCAAAGCGTTCTTTAGTGGTTATGGCTGATTCAAGAGTTCGCAAGAATGCAACAGAACCAATCAATACATACTCATTCATTCGTGGAAGTTATGATTCGACATTAACTAGAACAGTGAATGATATATTAAATGATTTGAATATTAAGGTAAGAGTTGAACAGAAGAACGAAGAAATAAAGAATATAATGAATGAAGACAAAGATGTAAACATTGACGATAAACTTGCCCAGAGCATAGTTGATGGCATCTGTGATTTTGAAGTACATAATGATGGTGGAAACATGAATTTAGAAAAAGAAGTTACATTATTCACACTGTTTCAAGCTATTAATTCGTTACCTAATCATTTAATTAATGAAGCATACGACAACGTTTATAACTTCTGCAGTTTAACAGAAAATGCAAAAAGTAATTTTGAAAAAGCACGTAGTAGATATGCACATTTAATGACTTCTCCATTTGTTTTGGTGAAGATTCTGAAACTTTATCAAAAGGAATATTATGATGAATATGTTTTACCTTTATTACGTAAGCCAAAAATAACATTTGATATAAAACTTGATGACTCGTTTTTGATAACAGATATTAGACGTAAAGCTGAAAATCATCAGTATAAAAACAGTTCTGAAGTAATTGAGGATTTATCACGTGTCATTCGTTTTGTAGATTGTGGAAACAAATACTTCATTCAAAAAGACTATAATATTCATGATAAAATGAATCAAATATCATTCGTTCTTCAATCAAACATGAAAGAGTCACTCAAAATGATTAAATTATTTAAAGAAGAAGGTAAAACCATAACAGCATGGGACGTACTACTAAATCAATTATCCTCATTAACCGTTATGGGTGTTTGCTTTAAATCTGATTCCCCAGATGTTTTCTCAACGTTTCAAGGTTATAAATACAACGTTCTCGAAAAGCCTGATTACTCAAAAATTGAGATGTTTATGAATTTCATTAAAGAAGCCATTTGTGATAATAACGATGAAGTGTATAAATACCTACTCGGCTGGATTGCATCAATGATTCAACATCCTGGAATCAAGAATGAAACAGCAATTATTTTGAAAGGACTTCAGGGAATAGGTAAAAACAGATTTACAGACATTATTTCTGAACTTCTCGCTGGTTATTCATGTAAAAAATTACCGAAATAAGTGAGCTAACGGGTAATTTCAATTCAGTTGTTGAAAATAAAATGTTTCTTGTACTTAATGAACTCAAGAATGTAGGTGAAGATAGACTCGCAAACTTCAACGCTTTGAAATCAATTATAACGGATAATGAGATAAGAATTAATGAAAAGAATCAACCCAGAAGAACTGCTCAGAATGTTGCCAATTTTATTTTCGTAACTAATAACGTTTACCCTGTCAAAATTGAAGTTGGAGACAGAAGATACGTAGTTTTAAGGGTTAATGGTAAATTTAAGGGTCAATTTGATTACTTCAAGAATTTAATGGATTCATGCACAAAGGAATTTTATGATAATTTACTAACATATTTTATCAATTACGACCTTTCATCATTTAATGTACGAATCATACCGATGACTGAAGCCAAACAAGATTTAATCGAGTTATCAACAAATCCTTTAGATGAATGGATAAATACACATTATGATGAATTGTGTGCAGGTATGATGTGTAAAAATGCTCTATTCTGCAAACCATCAGACATGAAAGACAAGAATTTTCAAATGAGTATTAAGGATAAATGTGAAAAGAAAAAAGAAAAACAGACGGTAAACATACGTGGTATTATGTTTTGAAAGAAGAAATGAAAGGATTATATAAACAGGTTGAACCAAACGATAATGAGGATTCATTTACTGACGATGAAATACCTGTAAATGAAGCTTTATAAAGTATGATTGGAATTTATTTTTGCATTAATCCCACTATGTTGTCTAAATGTCATGTTGTCATCATTTTCAAAAAGATGTTAATTAACCGAGGGACCGAGGGACCGAGGGACCCTTCATTTATTCAAAAAATGTAAGACATGAATTTCCTCCTTTTTTCCCCTGTTGTCTAAATGTCATGTTGTCATCATTTTCAAAAAGATGTTAATTAACCGAGGGACCGAGGGACCGAGGGACCCTTCATTTATTCAAAAATAATTAATTATTGAATAACCTAAAACATGAGACTTTGTCTCCGGACTCTTTGAGTCACTTAACGTAAACATTAACGTAAACATTTATTTCTGCAGTTCATCCATTACTTCATTACCTAATTAATTACAGACATAAAATATATTTAGTTCATTCATTGAACTCTATACCATGTGAATACAGTCATAAATGGTGGCATGTATTCTTTACTTTGTCCCGTTGTTTGTGTATATCCTGAAACATTATGTATATGGTTTCCTCCTCCCTCAGTGTTACTCCAGAAACAATTTATAGCAAACTTAACGTCGTCTTTAACATCATATCCTTTACCTTTTATCATTGCTGACCAATCCCAATATCTATGCTTATGCCAACCTGCTTGAGATGTACTTAAATCTATGTAGTGACTATGTGCAGGTAAGTTTTCACCTGAAATCGTTTTACTTCCACCTGTTTCCTTTGAAGAGTTTGCACAATACAAAAACCTGTCAACTATTTGAGTCCAAGTTCCAAAACCAAGTACTACTTCTGGTCTGGTAGAGTTCATTGACGTATAAATAGAGCCTATAGGATATAATGTTTGAAGTATTTCCGTCTTTAATGTTTGAAGCTCTGTTTTGTCTGTTTTCTTCTCATATAAATCTTGAGCAGTGAATTTAATATTATGTTCATCCTTCATGACATAAACATCTTTACATCTAATGTTTCTCATCGTCGTTATGTCGTCATCCGATGTTAAACCTTGTGGAAAGTTAGGAGGTTTACAATATAATACATCCCACCAGTTTCTTTCAACGTTCCTTCAATACTTTCTATAGCAACAGT